CATAAATTTGAATATGACATAAACATGATTTGAATGTGACATAAACATGATTTGAAAGTGGCGTAAACATGATTTGAATGTAACGTAAACATGATTTGAATGTGATGTAAACATGATTTGAGTGTGACGTAAACATGATTTGAATGTGACGTAACATGATTTGAATGTGATGTAAATATGACTTAAATGTGACGTAAACATGATTTGAGTGTGACATAAACATGACTTTCAAATAAGGAAGATATTCAAATGTGTCCAATAACACTTTCAAAAAAGTCTGCTTGGTGTTTTATGGTTGGGTAAATTCTACTGTTTTCGATGTTAGATATATAATACCAGAGGTACATTACTTGGGGTTTGCAACTACGGTGACATGATACCAAGATCCCGTTACAATCTCGCTCTCGCATAAGCGTTCCAACTCAGAAAAATGCGAATGCGCATGCCCGAGGTAACTAGGATACTGGGATGTCCAGGTGAATCAAAATAGCTGCCCACGATATGACGGATTACGAGAACTATATTTTCTGTACATTTTCGATGTATTACTGTAGAATACTTTATTTTCGCTTGGAATTTATTTTCGCTATTTTCGCTGAAGGGATGATTCCGTGAAAATAAAATCCAGCGAATATACTTTTTTTCCTATATTTTCACTTTAAACTCATCCAAAATCAGTGAAAATAAATTCCAAGCAAACGCCCAAAAAGCCTTTTCAGCGAAAATTAATTCCGGCGAAAATAAAGTATTCCACAGTACATTTTTCACTATGATAGCGACAAGAAAAGTTTTATTTTTTCATTACAAACCTTGAACATTGATATGTGTCATGTCAGAAGGTCGTAGCCTCAGTCTCGCTATCTACGTGAAGAGACTTGAATGGGATCTTGACATGATGTCACCATACAGTACTATGCGAGTTGCAAACCCCAAGTAATGTACCTCTGATAATACTAAACTTCATTTGAATCTATTCTTGAATGAATTCTTGACTCATTTTATCTCTTACACTGTTTTATTTCAGATGTTTAGCATTACAGTTGTATTGTGGAAACGATGAGACGGGATTTGAACACAATACCACCCACGCTGTGTTTAGTATTACAGTGCAGTTAACAGATGAAGGTTACAATAATGTCAGTGAAGTAAGTATTGCCACTATTGTGTTGTAAACTATCCCCGGTAGGCAATTGTGTTCAGTCCTCGTATGATTAGCAACCAATCAGATTGCATGTCACATCATGGAGTCCTTGGTTACAGACTGTGAGACATGCTTTAATTGTCTGATTCATTTCTTCCGAGTAGAGCTTCCTGAATGCGATTTTGAAAGTCTTTTGGTCAGATGTAGTTTGAGGACACTTTTGGTGCAACGTTTTTATGCATTTTTCTATAAATTCTTCATTATTTTGTACCATATAGACATAATTTCCTTTTGCCAACAGGCCTTGACCAAAATTCCAGTAAAAATATTAACTGAATTTTATCTTTGTGAATTTTGGTCATAAAAGTTGACAAAGGCATCCAAAATGTTAAGCATACTGAACCTAGGCTTTCATAGTGTGAAAACACTGTAAGTTGTGTACTTGGATAGAAATTACCATTTGCAGTACTATAAAATAAAATATGAGCATTTTTATGTATTTATCAACATAATCACATTAATTTATTTTATTTACAGTACCGTATATTTTACATGAAATATTTTTATTTTTTTCATTTTTT